AATATACCTGCCACCTCCTGTCTAAACTGCACGAAGTTGTTGAACTTTGCAAAGGTAAAAGGGATATGTCTCAGTAAACTTTCATCTGAAAAAAATTATCGAAATATAGCAGAGACATTAAGACGAGAAAAAATATTTTAATTGCTTCGCATTGATAAAATGTAGCACAAAGACGACTATATACAACAACCAACTTAATGATCCATAGCCTTCAAATGAACCAACATCGGAAAATAGAGAAAGTCACTAACAGTACAATACTGGACAAAATAACTATCAAAAATAAACAAATGGGATTCTTTGTAAGTCATCTAACAATTAACGAACTTAAGTTTTATTTGCTGTCTGCAGTTTGAAATAATATGAACAGACATCTCATATAATAGGTTTGAGAATAAAGTCAGCACTGCTATACGGGGTCGATTGGCAATATGATTTATAAATATTAACTCAAGGAGTAATCTAAGCCGTTCACCATAAAACAGCAAATCTTTTACTTAATTACCGTGAAATACTACTGGATCTACTCTATTCCTCTGAAACTAGTCCTACCTGACGGTGAAGGATTACAAGCAAATGCAATTGAGTTGTTTACAACGGCCGTATAAGTACTGGAAACCAAAAAACTCAGTCATTTGAATCTATACCATAATGTCTATTAGATCACCTCTGATATGGAATGAAATATACATGTGGCAGATGAACAAAGCAGTTTTCCAGAAAACACAAGTATCTGAGTCAATATTAAGAGCGGCAGCCTAAAATGAAAGGCTTTTGGCTTTCACTCAAGGCTCGAAATCAGCTACACCTGACTCAGTTTGATCGAACGGATAGTGTTATTAGCCCTCAGACAATATGGCCCATACTCAATCACCTAGTGAACGAGATAGTTAAACTTCAATACTGAGAGTACATGTCATAAAGCCTTTAACATTTAGTAAGGTTGAAAGCAAACTGAAAGAGCAACACCAGTATATGTAACCTTTTCCAACATTTTAGTGACTTTATGAAGTGACACCAAGTCTTTACTTAACAAACCCTAGCTTCCTTCCAGCTTACTTCTACACCAAACAACATCGCTTGAAGACATAGGTAGTGACTTAGCATATGTGATACTTTACGACCCCATCAATCCATTTGCAATCTCTACCCAGCATTAAGCCTTAGAAATATTGCTCGCATCTGCTAGGAACACCGGGTAAGTAATAGTGAGGTTAGACGCAGAGTATAAAGGAATGATTGTAAATCGGTCGATGAGGTTGTGAATCTTCATCGACTGAGATGGTTGGGCTACGTGTTGCTTAAGCCTGAAAACCGATTACCACGACGCGCAATGCTAACCGGTGTTGGAGATGGTTGGAAAACGTGGTATCAGTGCTTGAAGTCACTAACTTCTAGTCTGAGCCATGTTGGTAGATGCAGACTACTTGGTTGAGGTCCGCGTGGTTGGAGACTCTTGGTGACACGGCTCAGAATCGGTCACAATGGCGTCGGTGTATACACTCTCTGTCTTCTCTTAAACTATGAGATTGAAATCACTTCATATATTTCTTTCTACGAACTAATTCCTTCTTCCTGTACTATGTCCTTATATGCAATCTTTCTTTTATATATTGCCACCACTGAATTAACTACTTCTATGAATCTGGTGTACATCTTGTTGTGCTAATGAGGTATAACAACTTGGACCGATGCGCATATGTGCCTGGTCCTACGTTGTAGCTGACTGACTGACAGTATATTGCAAATAACATTAACTGCAGTTAGATCAACTGGCAAGGAATCTAAATAAATGTAAAACGGACACCTTTAGCAAAAATATTTGGCTATTTGTCGTCAGAGTGAAAAGGAAGCACAAGAAATCTGTTTGTTCAATTTGTTCCTTTTTTGAGGACTTGCCCAGCTTCACTTATTATGTTATTGGCTTATCGTAGAAGCTACATTCATACACGTAATTTGTAAGCAGTAATTGAAACTCTCAGTACCAACTAAAGAGTTTATACACTAATAATTTAACTACATCTTTGAATAAGCGACCTACGTATATTTACAGATAGGGGCCAAATAACTACGTCGCTTGATGTTATGAGTAAAAATAGATGTCCCATACCCAGACACAAAGAAATTAAATAAAAGCCAAACCATTATGCAGGATAAAAGTACAATACACTGACAACCTCGAGTTAACCAATCAGAACTACGATGGTGCCTCGCGTATTTTGCGCGAAATTTTACGTACAGTGACAACTTTTATGTTATTACTAAGGAAGCGAATGTTGAAATTTGATATAAAGAATGCCTTAAATCAACTAAAATAAGTATTGTACAACAAGAAAGTGAATTCAAAGTGATTCCTGGACTAGATTACAAAACAATAGCTCCTAAAGCAGTGTGTGGTAAAGTACTTGATGTGAACCAGTACAAAGTCAAGAATACTTTATCAGGCTAAACGGTATTCTCTCTTTCTAATCCTCAACTTTACTTCCGATCCAAGGTCTCATAAATCTGTTAATAGAAGTTACAAAAACACTAGGAAGTCGCTTGAATGAAGATCAAAACCTATTATTTCACTTTTAAAAATGTACATTTTGCTGCGAGTCCTTTTGTAACAGTGTATTTTTGTCTAATTCACCGATAGATCGCTCAGAGTGAACAGTATACAAAACTTTAACTTTATGCAGAAAGATAAATAATTAAAACATATCCGCTGGGCGACTTATTTGTCTCGTAACACTTACTTGTGACGAATTCTTGAGCGTACTTCTCACAGTAACAATCGCGAAAGGCAGTCTTAAAAGATTCAGATACAAAGTCAGAATTAATCTGGAAAAGCATGTCACACAGTAGCGCAGCGCATATAAAAGGCGGGAGAAAGAGTATGTTCATTCCTAAGTCTTTTGTAATAAGTGTACGCGTAAGATCTATCGTTGAATACTGTTTGCTCTTGTCTTCAAAATTATGCCTATCCGATATACTGGAAGGAATACAAATGGATTTTACCTGCAAAACGCTTAAAACCTATTCACTCATTGACTATAGTTCCCGATGACATATTCTAGGGATTGAACCCTCTGGAACTAATACCCCTTTGTAAAAGGAGATTTATGTCTCATTTGATTCCCCACTTCAAACTCCCTAAAATCTTACCATACATATATTATAGTTCTTGCTAAAGATTCACATGAATACGGCCGTCGAGACAAAGTATGTATGGTAAAAGTTGAAAAATACAGGTCAAGGACTCGGGACACACTTCTTTTCCACCAAGTACGCATTTATATGGGACGGTCTCTCCTCTGAAATACGCGTGGCAGATGAATTCGAAACGTTTGTAAGACTTATTGATCAAGCCCTCGCTTGCACTTATCCAGCACGACCAAACACATCTGAGTCGCCTTTTCTGACCTCCGAGTGTCACATGCTAAATGTGAATTTTCTCAGTATTTATATGCTCGACTTCAAATCCAACAGCAATTCAGACTACAGATCACCTCGTTTATAGGCCATTTCCTAGTCATGAATATGTAAAGATATTTTAGGTAGTCTTGCATTTTGGCTGCCAGCTTGACCTGAAAACATCTATTCAATCAGACCATAGCGTTGCATCACTTAATCAATGCCATGTATAAACTACGATCCGTATCCTTATGGAAAGCCTTTTAACTCAAGCCGAGCACTCATTTTTTCCTGTAAGATACGTTCCGTGTCCCGTTTCATCCAGGAGATTCGTTTCTTAGCTGCTTGCTTTGACTCAGGTTATTTGAGTTTAATAGCATTTCGGGTGATGTCACTAACATTCTCCTAGTGGTCAGCTACTGTTAGCCCACACCACTTTCTTGACCGTGAGAGGTGTTTGGGATGCTCTCTCATTATCGTGTACTCTGTTATGGTATATCCAACGTGGAGAACAATCTCCTCCTTCAAAGTACCTCATTCTTGATATTGTTCAACACCACTTTTAGGATAGACGATCCATTGAGAAATATTTAAAAGTTCCATGTTCACAGCAAACATTCCTAAGGCTCCTGACTAGATTTATGGGAATTGAGTTTAGTTTCATTTTCGCAGTAATCACTCACATGATACCGAGATGTACTGAAAAATTCATGTAAATCTAGCGACTTCAAGCCATGTGTAATGACTAACATAATTATTTACACAATAAAATCTGATTCAGAGCAGCTTGTGTATAACAAAGTAATAAATTCAGACGTCATATATGTGTATCGCCTAATTTGAATTTGTTCGAATTGAGGACACGAGTGTTAGTAGGCACAGAACGGTGGTTGGTCGTTTACTTCAAGTTCCCACATCTGAGAAGTACGAACACCTTATCATTGAACTATTCAGCCACTTGATCAAACCTCAATGGTTCGAATTACCCAGTTTCAATCAATTCGCAGTACAATGACTATCAAGTCGGGCTCACCAGTTTCCTGCCTCTAGGTAACCCTCGTGCTATTGATAGAAGAAACCAGACAAGTAGTTAATAAGTCTTTATTTCGATCTTTGCACAGTCACAGTGGAGTGTGGCTTACTTATTTAGACAAACGAAGCCTCCCAACATTCAATATAAGATGATAGGAAACATAACGCTTGTACAAAATAAGGAAGTGAATAAGTACTTGAACTATACTGTTTTGGCATATGTTTAGTTGTTTGAGGTCAACTCCTAACCAACCAACCTAAGCTGTTACAACTACACCATCAAATGCAGTCTATTGACGTCTGACTTCACTAACAACTCGGTTTACTCCGAAAGTCACATATTAACATCAGAACTCCAGGAGTTCCATCTAGACATCATTCAACATTAGGAATATGTTCACCAAGGTGGTTTGTGAGTAAGTATTTACTTCTGGCATACTCATTTACAGACTGACGTCAGATGACTAGTGCTTCATGATTCGCCACTTGACTTTTTAATTGATTCTAATAACAAACGCATCTCAATTAGTCAGTTTTTCACAAAATACAGCAATATGTTATAACAAAGTTAGTTAAAACAAACTTCTCGTTTATTGAGTAAACTACATTTATAATAAGTCCTCTTCTTAAGAATCTACTTGATCATTGAAAATAAATGTAAAATAGTGTAGAGAGTTTGAAGTTATTCGAGGAATCTAAGTCATACAATAAGATGATCACATTTATTCACATCATAAGTGATCCTGGAAAACAAGAATAGTAAAAACAAAAGAGTATAGTCTCTGCACGTCAAATATATTAAAAATCCAACTAAAAAAATTATGTAAGGTTGATTTTACTTATAACATTGTTAATTTATCAAATCATAAGCAAAATGAAGTCAAATGCTCCCTCGAATATAGATGCCATACATTTTCTCTTCAGTTAGTTAATCAGCCTGCCATATGTAACTTAAAAGCTGATACATATGTGCACTGTTTCAAACAGATGGGTTGATAATACTTATCTGTTGTGAAGATCCAGAATATTTCTCAAAAAATCCCGAATGGGCTCTGGAAATACCAAGGAACATTTTACCCAATCAGCATTGAATAGAAGTGTCTCAGAAACACTTAGGAAGTCAAGAGTCACGTGGCACGTTTCTGATTGGATGATTGCCTACCCTGCTACTATGTTTAGTAGAGTTCCAGAACGTTCCAGGAGCCCAAGGTCATACGAAAAGCTAGAACTGCTCTCATTGTTTTGTACATAAACTAACCTTGAAGTTAAGAATTCTTTTCAAATTTCCTGCCTCATCTTTCGTGTTCAATTTGTCCGGTAGTTTCAGTCTGGGGTTATTTGAGGAATTTAGGAAACCGATTCAAGCGTTCAGTCAGAAGATTTGTCAATGTTCAACTAATAAAAACTACTTTAAAACACTGCATCTTTCAGTGAGCACGCAATTGATATCAATCTCTGCAAACATTCACACATAATAATGAATTATTTTATTGAAATTGTTTAATATACAGTCAACTATTTCGACTAAGAAAATAAAAATGTCACAGAACATGATGAACATGTTTAAGCAGTCAGTCGACACAGCATCATGTGTATAGAAATAATTTTTCATATCTGAATGATATAAATATCATATTAATGTTCGTTATGCCATCAACTAAGCACGAACTATGAAAATGTTTGTTGTTTCAAATACTACTGATTAGTAAACACCCAAATATGGACTGAGTATAATTTTCGCTTGCGCAATGAATCTATGAGCACTTTACAAAACAGTTTGTCATAACTTAAACACAAATAGTAATTTTTTTATAACTAGTAAACACCTTTAAATGATGAACAAAGAAAAACAACAACAACAAAAGAAACAGATCTATTTACAATACTGACCAATTGCCAATCAATGATTTTTTTCATAGTTGACATCATAAGTCAATTGAAGCTAGGGCACCCATGAAAACATAGAAGCACTGCACGGCAGTTTCGTCCTAGTATGGGACTCCTCAGCAGTGCACATCCAAATATCTATTATTTGGTGATTTTGTGCATATAATCATATATTTATCCAAGTGTTCATTTATAATTACAAATTTCTCTTCATACTAAAGTGAGGTACAACTCTGTAAAGCAAACTCTACAATCGTACATATTTGTAAAAAAAGTACCTGAGCTAGAAAACAGATTTTAATTTTGTTTATTCACTGAGAATCTACTAATCTACTAGTTCAATACGTCCAGTTCATCATGAATATTTAGGTTACGTAATGGATATTTCTTGTCATAACTGAATATTAACAGATTTAGTTGATTCAGTTAATTAATAAATACCCAGACATAAATATAAATATTATAAGGAAAGATGGAATTAAGGCAATATCGAGGCAATATGCACAGTATGCATATATGCCAATACGAAGATTCAAGTAAGCAATACAAAGTAAATATGAACATAAATATTTCAGAAACAGAACTTTCAGTGACAAACTAATTAGTTTATTTAACTCTAATTTAAATTTCCAAACTGAACATCAAACTATAGTTTTTTTCATGGATTAGGTAGTGGTTGGAGGTAGTCGACAAGAAACCTTAGACCCGGGTTTCGTGCTACTTGGCACTCGTCAGCAAAGTGTACCTGTAATCTTGAGGGAACTGAGGCTCGCTGATGGATTCGATCCTGTGTCACCCAGCTTCACTGCTGGACTATCCGGGACGCTAGGCTGCTCATACCAGTCGGACGTCATTTGTCATAATTCGATTGGTGAACAAATCATGTGATAAATTAACCGGGTTAGCAGGTCACAACATTTCCCTTGTCTCTATGAGCATAGTTGAGTAAATATTGTATTGAGACATTGGATTCTATTGTTATTACATTGAAAAAATATTCGTAGTAATAAATAAACCATATAGTAAAGTTATGATTATTATTAATCATTAATTTAATAATGTGTTCTTTAGTTCCACTGACCTTTACATGTGCTCATTGTCATTACTGTTCATCATAGTAACATCAAATGGTTCATTTTCACCATTTAATACTTGGTTTTCTTGATTTATTCCCTAAAACATTTTTATAACACACTCTGTTTATTCTTCAGTATTAGGCAATTAAATATAAGAAAAGGTTGTGAACACCTTTGTTTAACAGTATTGAAAGTAAATGAAGATTAAAATAAAATACATATGGGATTTGATGATTTGTAAACTAAAAAACAACAAACTAAATTTTTAAATTCACTTGGTACTTATCAGTATAGGGGTTGTGGAGATTATTAAGTTTTTCATTGAGATCACGAACCCATTGATGTTAGAACATCAATGATAATCTGAAGGCACTGGATGGCCGTTTCGTCCTACCATCCCGCACGCGGGATTCTGACCCGGAGCCGTGACCAGTGGAGGTAATCCGTGTCGGGTAGAGATAGGTATCTACCTAAGTACAGTGGAAGATGGTCGCGCAATTTCGTGAATCGGTTGAGGTTAGACAATAACGCCATTGGATGCCGGCTCAGTGGTCCAGTAGGTTAAGAGTTCGAGCGCGAGACTGAAGGCCCTGGGCTAGAATCCCGCGGGCTCATCGTGGATGCGTGCTGCTGAGGAGTCCCACAATAGGACGAAACAGCCGTTCAGTGCTTCCAGGTTATCAGTGGTGGTCTAACATCAATTGGTTCATGATCTCGATCACTTGTTATTGTTTACTTGAATCTTCCTATTGATGTTTAAGACTGCAACTGATTAGAACACAGTAGCTAAGTCAAAAACGCAATGGTGTTTGAAGCGAAAGGTACTGGGTTCGAGTATCAGAGTGAATGTCAACTCTGAGATGCAGATACATCCAGCTGACGTGTCCTGAGTAGGACGAGACGCGCGTACTGGATACCACTGTTAGTCACTATCCATCTTTGCTTATAAACCGAATTTTTATTGTGAGATAGTCAGTAACCATTAATATGGTAGTATTGACTAAATTCGATGTATTTATCTAGAATACAAACTCCACCATTCACCACACTGTTGAAAGGAGTGATTTAGCATTGATTCATAGGACTTCATTATTCAATCATTAAATTTTAAATGTAAAGACTGAAATTCTCTCGGTTCCATGACGATTTAATATAGAACCTAACTGTGAGAACATTTTTGTTCTTATTAACAATTTGGAAGCCTTCATTTAAAACTTTTGACATATGATTGTGATTTTCAAAGATATCAACTGCTTGATATTTTTGTGATTTAAATTCATACACAGCATATTGTAGTCAAAATCAGCTTCTAAATGAAGACGAAATTAGGAAAAGATGTTAAAAGTGGATAGGACGTACATTAAGAAAATCGCCAAATTGCATCACAAGGCAAACCCTAACTTGGAATCCTGAAGGAAAGCGGTAAAGAGGAAGGCTGAAGAACACACCACGTCGGGAAGTTGGAGCGGATATGAAAAGGATGAATAGTAACTGGAAAGGATTGTCCAGGTCAGGGTTGAATGGAGAGTGCTGGTGGATGGTCTATGCTCCTCCTCGAGGAGTAACAGGCGTAAGTAAGTAATATTGTAGACACTAAATTCTTTATAATGCATTCTTTCTTCTATGCTGATTATGGATATTTACAATTAGTGGAGTATTCGTAATTTTGAAATCAGATTCAATTTCGCTATGATTCAACTAACATGTCCAATCATGTAATAAGTCCTAATAAAAATGTCGATACTGCTATATTGATATGACTATTTGTTATGATTTTGCGGAAAACCTACTATTTTCCGCATGTTCAACGAAACAGTACTAATATAGTTTGAACCTCTAAAGTTAAGGATTTCAGTCAGTCAGTCAGCTACAACTTAGGATCAGGCACATATGCGCATCGGTAAAGGTTGCCTTACCTCATTAGCACAACAAGATGTACACCAGATTCATAGAAGTAGTTAATTCAGTGGTGGCAATATATAAAAGAAAGATTGCATATAAGGACATAGTACAGGAAGAAGGAATTAGTTCGTAGAAAGAAATATATGAAGTGGTTTTAATCTCATAGTTTAAGAGAAGACAGAGAGTGTATACACCGGCGCCATTGTGATCGATTCTGAGCCGTGTCACCAAGAGTCTCCAACCATTGGTTACGATAGTCACGCGGACCCCAACCAAGTAGTCTGCATCTAACCAACATGGCTCAGACCAGAAGTTAGTGACTTCAAGCACTGATGCCATGTTTTAGTTTGGCCGCCCCTAACTTTCTTCCAACCATCCCCAACACCGGTTAGCATTGCGCGTTATGGTAATCGGTGTTCAGGATTATGGAACACGTGGCCCAACCATCTCAGTCGATGAAGATTCACAACTATTCACAGTGGCATTCAAAATTATGTGTACATCCTTTTAACTATTTGTTCAGTGGATAAATTCGAATGTATTGAACAGGGAGTATTTCAACATAATTATTCAATAATTTAATGCAATTATACAATTTACAAAATCAATATATTAACTGTTTTACAACTAACAAGTGTAACTACACTACCAAGTTACATGTTTTGCTCTTAATACAGTTTTTGTCAAACTTCACCCAATTTAAGTATTATGAACTCAATGTTAAAAAGTTTTACACATCAATGGTGATAAATTCAAATACCGTTCTTAGACCAGAACTTATAATAAATTTTCATCTGGATGAGATTTCGTACTCTTAACTGAATAGTTTAATCATGAAGTTTTCATTGTTCTTCTGAACAACATCATCAGTACAAACATAAGTTTGTATTATTAGAGGATTTGATATTCTCAGTGAAATTTTCCTATCTTCATTATTTAGCAGTAAGTTAACTGAAAGTATTATCGAATGAACAATTTCTAATAGTTCAGCATTCACTGACATCACTGAATAATATATAGTTGACAGATCATAGATTAAATATAGTGTTTAGTTATTTTGGTATGTTTTATATCAGCATTTCAGTAACTAGTAGGATCAAAATGATGAAGTACTCTTATTCTAATTGTTTAGTTAATTTTTAGCTCAATTAACGAAATTCAATTAGTTTGATTGATACATTCAATCATTCTTCATAGACGACAGTATTTCTGATAACCTACAATTCTGTTTTCTCCCTCAAAGAAACGGATTCTCTGTTAGTTGTTATTATTAAGAGAAGTATGGAAACAGTAGTATTTTAGCGTTGTTTTTATCGAGTTAGTTTTCTACGGGATGGAGTCGCTAACCCCATGCCCAACCCTCATCCTTTACCCGGGCTTGGGACCGGCAGTAACTCTAGAAGAGCTACAGGATGAATAACAACTGGAAAGAGCTGGAAAGGTTTGCACAGGACAGAGTTGGATGGAGAATGCTGGTGAGTGGCCTATGCTCCTTCATGAGGAGTAACAGGCGTAAATGTGTTAGTGACGGAAACAGCAAAAGTGCAAAAATATAAAATTCTACTGGAATTGTAACTTCATTTCAGTCAGGTATCACGATTTTTACTTATGAACCATTTTTCACTAGTAGTAAAAAAATGAGGATGATGGTTATTTGTTCCTGATTTGGTGAATAAGTGGTTTAAAGATTAATCTGAATTTGAGGGTAATATTCAACAAAGATCAAATGCGTTTGAGAGAAATTTCGAAATCTAAAGAGGACTGAAGAATTATCTCGCCTTACTACAGGAATTCTCAATAATGAGTACCCACGGAGCAGCCAGATATCGAACCCAGGATATTTAGGTTTCACATCGACTTACTAGACTTCTGATTTGGCATCCAGAGGTATACATTTCCAACTACAATCAATTTGTGACAAAGTGCGATGATCATTCAATGATATTAGTAGCTGTTGACTGACTCTTGAACTGTTGAGACTCCATCGTTCATGATTGTTGCCAAGAACTTCGGGAACCCACCTCAAAGTGAGTTACTGTTGGACATAATGATAGATTTTGTAAAGATTAGTCTTACTTTAAAAAAGTATTCATCACAGATTGACCTTAGATAAAGTACAACTTACATCCAGGTAGTCTAGATACGTTGCATTCCTGAGATCGATACTTGAAGCTGTCATGAGTGCGCACCGCTGAGAATTCCTCTTCTTGCATTCAACAGTTGGTAGTCTATTTCGTAATGTTAGACTAATTCATCCAATTTACCCGTAGATCTGTTCTAAAAATGTAGCTTGATTCGCCTTAATTCTTCGAATCATGTCATTCTATGATAATATATATCTCCAACAGTTTCCACCAACCTCATGAACTGATGAAAATCATATGCTGACTAGGAGTTATCCACGAATTTCTAACGAGAAGCTGTGACCAGTTGAGCTGAATCATTTTTGATTTGAGGCAGTTACCCATCGACAGCAACAAATGATGGTCGGGCAATATCACGAATAGATTGAAGTTCGACATTTAAATCTCTAGTTGGCGGCTTAGTGGCGTTATGGCAAAAAGCTTGCAACGAAACCTGAAAATCCTGGGTTCGAAGGGTCCCGTGATAGAACGAAACAGTTGTCCTGTGTTTACTGGTTTTGATTATATGGCTAATTAAGGTCAGTCCATGATGTAAAATATATGAAAAATATAGACTCTCTACATTTACATCAATACCAAAGTGTTATAATTTCTCTTATTACGACACAACTACTCATATTACAAAATAATCTTGGACACTACTTCATTCAAAAAGTCTCCAAATCAGAACACGGTTGAACAGGAATGTAGGAATCGCAATAGGAAAGATGTTAGTATATTTATAATCTTAACATAGAAAGACTCTCAAGTTTTCTCCAAGTGTCTGCTAACGCTGATTGGTTAGGAAATAACCAATCGGTATGCCTCATCACAATCCTTCACGGAACATGTTTTAATTCAATCTATTTTCTGATAATCAGATTAAATTATCTCATATTCACCTTCTGCTTAAATGTTTAAAAATGATTAGTTTATCGGAAAATTGGATTACACTAAGTTTATGAAGAAATTTCATTAGTTCACCTTCAGACTCATGAAATACCAAATGTGTATCAGTTGTCTAACATATTGAGATTATTGAGATCACGAGTCAATTTAAAGACGAAACGGCCTTCCAGCGCTTCCAGTTTTTTCATGGTGGTCTAGCTTCAACTGACTCATGATCTCAACTATTTAAATTACTACAATCTCCAGAAAACCCCTTCAGATACTATTCAAGATATGCCCACTAGTGACTGGCTTCAAGATGTATATCCTGGAGTTCTAGTGAGAAGAAGTGACCAGTGGAGTTCAACCGGGTCAGTTGTGACATAGTAACTCACTGATGACAGTGATGGATGTATTGCTCAATTTCGTGGATTAGTTGAAGTTAGATATTAACACTGATTCCGGCTCGGTGGTCTTGTGGTTGAGCGCTCTCGTGCAAGACTGATAGGTCCTGTCTTCGAATCTCGCATGGCGCCATCGTGGATGCCCACTGCTGAGAAGTTCCACAATAGGACGAAAAGATCGTTCAGTTTTTCCAGGTCGTCCATGATTGTTTAGCTTCAATTGACTCATGATCTCAACTATTGAAATTACTAATAACATCCACAAACTCCCTTCTAGTATTGAGATTAGTTGATTGGATATATTGTAGTTATTTGAAAACTTATTTAATATAAGTTCTTAAATTCCTAGGTGAAAAGTCCTTAAAAAGTTTATATATCATATGGAATCATTCAAATTATTGATTAATTAACAATGATTCAATATAAACTAACATGTAGATCTTGTTCATTTAATATTGAATTTTGATCATTCAATAAATGATATTCATGAAGTAAGTTCTTCAATGAACTTGCTATGAATTGATCAGAAGTTGTATCAATTAATTCATTCTAATAAAATGAAAATAGAATATCATTTTTGAAGAAATTATTATTTTATACAAGTGAAAAGAATAAAAGATGATACATATACCTGAACGACTTTATTTTCTACACCTTGAAAATGACTGTACTTGATCGAGAAGGTTGTTGAAATTAGCAAATATGATTTGATTATCTGATGTCACATGGCGGTTCAGTAACAGATAATTAACGAAGAACACAAATCCATGTATTCTGGTTGGGAAGAGTCTATAGTAACATATATCTACAATACTAAATACTTTAGTTATTCTAAACACATTATTTTTTGTAGGTGTCATTAACAAAATATCACTTGATGATTTCAAATAAAAAGAGTATTGGGTAGATTGTTATAAATAAAATAATACATTTGTAGGGCCAGTGAAATGTCACCGAACCCTGGCCATATTATCCGGCATTTGGGTCACTAGATGTCGATCAGTTCATTGGTCCCTGTCAAGGTCAAGGACAATCGATGCGCATCAATTAGTTGCACACCATGAACTGGTCCAGGCGGTGGTGTTTGCAACTTCTCCCGTATATCTACTTTTGTTAATACATTTCTCTAATAACGTCCTTCGTTATACCGTCTTCAAAGCTGCCATAGAATCTTCATACCACGAAAGGGTAATCCACGCTAGGTGCTGACCGCGATGTGTGACTTATTGGTCACATTATTCTCGTCTAACTCAAATAGACCTCCAATCATTCGACATAGACAATCTACGTTGGTGATTTACACATTTGTAATATCCCAATGAGTAGAGAAATTAAGTTTTTAAATTTTCTGACGTTTCGTGACTTAGTGTAAGCCACTTCTTCAGAGAATAAATAATAAATTAATCCAGGTTTAAATAATACAAATGAACAAAACAAGAATATTAGGTGCGAAAAACCAAAAAAACAGGTCTGAACAAGTCATTTCGGTCAAGATTATTTATACGTGACATGCATGTAAATTTGTGTGTGTGTATTTGTGCAGGGTCAGGGATGAATGAATGTGACCTTTGTGGTGAGAAAGGATAGAGTTTAACCTTTATGTACGATAGTAGTGTGAAATGTGAATAGAATCAGAAATGGTTGCTTGGATAGATAGTCCATGTCGGATGGATAGTGAGGCCTTCATTTCTATTTACGACAGTAAGATTAAACAATATATGAAAAGCTTCAGCTAATCGCATTTCTTTGTATTTGAAATACTATTTTTCTATTATTTCGATGTTAATATCGATTCAATGGTTGCTGAAAATGGCATGAACTGCTATTAACGATTTAATTTGGAGTCTTTCCAGTTCTACGGGATTATTAGGTGGTTTCTTCGTGTACCTAAGATATTCTTTGGCCCGAGTCAAGATTTCACGAAATGATTCTTCGATGTAGAAGGCATCACATTATTTCATCCTTTAGTATATATACACATACAAATAAACAAACGTCTCAAATAAATCACTTTAACCGGAATGATATGACATTGACGTGGTTAGACCTGTTTTTTGATTGGTCGCACCTAATATTCTTGTTTTGTCCCTTTGTATTATTTAAACTTGGATTAATTTTTTTTGGTTATTTATCCTCTGAAGAAGTGACTTGCACTAAGTCACGAAACGTCAGAAAATTTAAAAACTTATTGGGATATTACAAATACATTATTTTTATTTAAATCTTTATTGTGTTTAGATATGCTGTAGATAAGCTGATCAGATGTAGCTTTTCTGACTGTAATTTTAAGTTTTTTAACATTTCAATCACAAGGGAAACTTTGGTTTTATCTGAAATCCCTTAAGATAAACAGTGTTATATTTCAAGCGCCTTAATCACTAATTTCAGCTGTAACATTAAATGAAGTTCTTTGATGAATACTTAAAAGTGTCTAATCAGTTTGTTCTGTCACCTCACTCGTGATTTTGAACGCTTTATTCAAGTTGATCGTCGTACTCTGTTGACCTCTGATCAAGTTATCGATCAATTTTTTCCGAATCAGTTGACAGGTCAGATTTATCTAGATATGTCTTCCGATTATAGATAAATCTGTGTGTCATGAATTTAAAAATTCTCTGATAGTCTCAGAATTCCCTTGACTCAGAATTTTAGCAGTTTCTCAGTTTAATTGACAGCTTTTACAACTTATCCTGTAACTGACGTTGCATTTGTTTTCATCCACTGTTTTGTCTTTTCATCTGTAAAAGGGGAGTGATTTATAAGCGACAGTGATTTAAAAGGGTTTTAAAATGCTTGTAGTGATTGCCCAGATACTTTCATATATGCTGAGACTATCCACTTCCTTGTTTTGAGGTTGATTTTTAGTTACTTCCCTAGGGACGATAAGAGCTCGGCAATCACATCATCTATCCCAGATTAATTAACGACACCAAAAACAGTGAAGTAGTGATAACAATTCTTAAACTACACATAATAATTACATACCCTCCGTTCATTTGTATAAACGACATACCAAAAAATTCGCGATAGCAACTAATCGAGTCTTAAGTGATCATGATACAGTATCTCTGTGTTAATATAGAATAAGTATTTGAATATTAAATGGAGTAATGTTTTCTAGATATTGTACACAATTTACTAATGATAACTATTAAATATAAAACGAATTTCTAGGGTTACTTATGTCTTACCGCCTCATTTGAATCAATGCTGATATCGTTTTGGCTAACTGGTTGGACGTTCTCTGTTGTATCTTCGATCAATACGATGTCATCACAGTCCTAATTTATACAACGTGAAAAACTCATATAATAATTTGATCAAATCCGTAGATCATTAACAGATTATCATTGATGAATGAATTATATTTTATCTGTATAATTAACTTTGTAATTAGTGAAGTACATTAAAACTGTCTATTTAAATTGGAATCGGTTTTAATGTCAAAATATTACACCTAATAGATTTTTCTTGTAATTGTCTAATATATTTTGGTAAAATGAATTTAACTTTAAGATTCCACCCCATAAAAGGCTGATTATCTAATAAATCATTTTTATGGTAAGCTTGTTGTGTGAGCTACTTATATCCTCATAAGTAGTATATAATGGTAGTCGGAATAAAATGTATTTCAGTAGAAGATCGAGAAGGCAAAAACGGAAACGGGAAGCAATTAGTATGAAAATGCAAAAAAAAGTGAAATCTGAGATGATTAACTGGTATTTGTGAAAGGAACAGTCAAGTTTGAGACAATCAATTGCTATTTTGCAAATTCTGTAAGTTTATCTTCGGATACATTCGATCGTACCCATTCCAGTTCTTGTTCACTATAAGCTATAATAAATAATGACGTGAAGTACTAAAAAGGTCTGAATGTATATATATGAACTGATTACTATCACTGTTGTTGCTCATAGCATCAGTCAATTAGTTTGCTAACCTTGTCAATTACTGTTTCTGCTTCTACATTCTCATCATACACCTTCGGTAGGACTGTTTCTGTACTTCTTTGCGGTAGCTTCATATATTCACATGTTATCCAGTCTTGTTCATATTCTATGTCAAAATACTTTAAACAAACAAATGTTCAGTAGGATACATTTATTTAAATAAGAATTTACGAATAAGAGGAAGTAATCAAATATATCTTATACTCAGAAGGGTTCTGTGGAGATTGTAGTAATCTAATAACTGAATTCATGAGTCATTTGAAGTTAGACAACCATGAAAAACCTGGAAGAACTGAACGACCTTTTTGTCCTATTGTGGAGCTTCTCAACAGTGGGCATCCACGATCCCGCCATGCGAGATTCGAAGACAGGACCTATCAGTCTTGCACGAGAGCGCTTAACCACAAGACCACCGAGCCGGAATCAGTGTTAATATCTAACTTCAACTAATCCACGAAATTGGGCAACGCATTCAACATTCTTATCAGTGAGTTACTATCTCACAATTGACTCATGAATTCAATTATTAAATTATTAGTCTCCAGAAAACCCGGATAAAGGAGGAGGGTTGGGCATGGGGTTAGCGTCCCCATCCCGTAGAAAACTAACTCGCTAAAAAAACGCTAACCAGAAAAAATTATTCAAACCTTTTAAACTCTGCCCTGGGAGTCAGAAGGTCTTCATTTAGAAGAATTATGACGCCTCATGATGAAAGCCGAATTCCTTCGGAAGTTACGAGGCCGATGCCCCTTCTGACAACCAGAGCGACCATTTATTTAGGTACATGGAATGTTCGTACAATGTGGGACACCGGGAGAGCCTTCCAAATTGCTGCAGAAATGAGAAGATACAACCTAGAGGTACTTGGGATCAGTGAAACACATTGGACACAAGTTGGACAACAACGACTAACTACAGGAGAGCTCCTGTTATACTCCGGCCATGAAGATGAAAATGCACCACATACACAAGGAGTTGCATTGATGCTGTCCAAACAAGCGCAAAATGCGCTTATAGGATGGGAATCTCATGGACCAAGGATCATCAAAGCCTCGTTCAAAACAAAGAAAGAGGGTATTTCAATGAACATCATCCAATGCTATGCGCCTACCAACGACTACAATGAAGACGCTAAAGATCAATTCTACAATAGGCTGCAGTCAATCGTCGAGAAGTGCCCAACAAAGGACCTGACTATTCTGATGGGAGATTTCAACGCCAAGGTTGGAACGGACAACACTGGATATGAAGACATCATGGGACGACACGGACTGGGAGAAAGAAACGAAAATGGTGAGAGATTTGCAAATCTATGTGCCTTCAATAAGCTGGTCATAGGCGGCACCATATTCCCACATAAACGCATACACAAAACCACATGGACTTCACCGGATCACACACAAAACCAAATCGACCATATTTGCATCAACAAAACGTTCAGGAGGACTATAGAGGACGTGAGAACCAAGAGAGGAGCTGATATAGCATCAGATCATCACTTGCTGGTCGCCAAGATGAAATTGAAACTCAAGAAGCACTGGACAACGGGGCGGACAATATCACAAAAGTTCAATACGGCCTTTCTTCAGGATACTAACAAACTCAACAAATTCAAGATAGTCCTCAGCAACAAGTTCCAGGCCTTTCATGATCTACTCAATGGAGAAGGAACTACTGTGGAGAGCAACTGGAAGGGGATCAAAGAGGCAATCACTTCAACATGTCATGAGGTCCTGGGTCACAAGAAGCACCATCACAAGGAATGGATCACTGTTGATACACTGGATAAGATTCAAGAAAGGAGGAACAAGAAGGCAGCAATCAATACCAGTCGAACAAGAGCAGAAAAAGCCAAGGCACAAGCTGAATACACAGAAGTAAACAAACAAGTGAAGAGGAGCATCAGAACCGACAAACGTAAATATGTGGAAGATTTAGCAACGACGGCGGAAAAGGCTGCAAGAGAAGGAAACATGAGACAACTGTATGACACGACAAAGAAACTCTCTGGAAATCGCCGCAAACCAGAACGACCAGTGAAAAGCAAGGAAGGCGAGGTAATCACCAACATTGAAGAGCAACAAAACAGGTGGGTAGAACACTTCAAAGAACTCTTGAATCGACCAGCTCCACTGAACCCACCCAACATCGAAGCAGCACCCACGGACCTCCCAATCAATGTTGGCCCACCAACAATTGAAGAAATCAGCATGGCCATCAGACAAATCAAGAGTGGCAAAGCAGCAGGACCGGACAACATCCCAGCAGAGGCACTAAAAGCAGACGTAGCGGCAACTGCAAGGATACTCCACATTCTCTTCAATAAGATTTGGGATGAGGAACAAGTACCAAAAGACTGGAAAGAAGGACTTCTGATCAAAATACCGAAGAAAGGCGATCTCAGCAACTGTGATAACTACAGGGGCATCACTCTTCTCTCAATACCGGGAAAAGTCTTCAACAGGGTATTGTTAAACAGGATGAAGGACTGCGTAGACGCCCAACTTCGTGACCAACAGGCAGGATTCCGTAAGGATAGATCGTGTACAGACCAAATCGCAACTCTACGGATCATTGTGGAACAATCAATTGAATGGAATTCATCACTCTACATCAACTTCATTGACTACGAAAAGGCATTTGATAGCGTGGACAGAACAACACTATGGAAACTTCTTCGACACTACGGCGTGCCTCAGAAGATAGTCAATATCATACAGAATTCCTATGATGGATTAAACTGCAAAATTGTGCATGGAGGACAGTTGACAAAGTCGTTCGAGGTAAAGACCGGTGTCAGGCAAGGTTGCTTACTCTCACCCTTTCTCTTTCTCCTGGTGATCGACTGGATCATGAAGACGTCAACGTCTGAAGGGAAGCACGGGATACAATGGACATCTAGGATGCAGTTGGACGATCTAGACTTCGCAGATGATCTGGCCCTTCTATCCCAAACGCAACAACAGATGCAGGAGAAGACGAACAGTGTGGCAGCAGCCTCAGCAGCAGTAGGTCTCAATATACACAAAGGGAAAAGCAGGATTCTCCGATACAACACAGAATGCACCAATCCAATCACAATTGACGGAGAAGATTTGGAAGATGTAAAAACCTTTACGTATTTGGGCAGCATCATTGATGAACAGGGTGGATCTGATGCAGATGTGAAGGCGCGGATCGGCAAAGCAAGAGCAGCATATTTACAACTGAGGAACATCTGGAACTCAAAGCAACTGTCAACCAACACCAAGGTCAGGATTTTCAATACAAATGTCAAGACAGTTCTACTGTATGGGGCAGAAACCTGGAGAACTACGAAAGCCATCATCCAGAAAATACAGGTGTTTATTAACAGTTGTCTACGCAAAATACTTCAGATCCGTTGGCCGGACACTATTAGCAACAACGTACTGTGGGAGAGAACAAACCAGATCCCAGCGGAGGAAGAAATCAGGAAGAAGCGCTGGAAGTGGATAGGACACACATTGAGGAAAGCACCCAACTGCGTCACAAGACAAGCCCTCACATGGAATCCTGAAGGCACAAAGGAAAGAGGAAGACCAAAGAACACATTACGCCGAGAAATGGAGATAGACATGAGAAAAATGAACAAGAATTGGATGGAACTAGAAAAGAAGGCCCAGGACAGAGTGGGTTGGAGAATGCTGGTCAGCGGCCTATGCTCCATTGGGAGTAACAGGCGTAAGTAAGTAAGTAAGTAAGTAAGTAAGTAAGTAAGTAAGTAAGTAAGTAAGTAAGTAAGTAAGTAAGTAAGTAAGTAAGTAAGTAAGTAAGTAAGTAAGTAAGTAAGTAAGTAAGTAAGTAAGTAAGTAAGTAAGTAAGTAAGTAAGTAAGTAAGTAAGTAAGTAAGTAAGTAAGTAAGTAAGTAAGTAAGTAAGTAAGTAAGTAAGTAAGTAAGTAAGTAAGTAAGTAAGTAAGTAAGTAAGTAAGTAAGTAAGTAAGTAAGTAAGTAAGTAAGTAAGTAAGTAAGTAAGTAAGTAAGTAAGTAAGTAAGTAAGTAAGTAAGTAAGTAAGTAAGTAAGTAAGTAAGTAAGTAAGTAAGTAAGTAAGTAAGTAAGTAAGTAAGTAAGTAAGTAAGTAAGTAAGTAAGTAAGTAAGTAAGTAAGTAAGTAAGTAAGTAAGTAAGTAAGTAAGTAAGTAAGTAAGTAAGTAAGTAAGTAAGTAAGTAAGTAAGTAAGTAAGTAAGTAAGTAAGTAAGTAAGTAAGTAAGTAAGTAAGTAAGTAAGTAAGTAAGTAAGTAAGTAAGTAAGTAAGTAAGTAAGTAAGTAAGTAAGTAAGTAAGTAAGTAAGTAAGTAAGTAAGTAAGTAAGTAAGTAAGTAAGTAAGTAAGTAAGTAAGTAAGTAAGTAAGTAAGTAAGTAAGTAAGTAAGTAAGTAAGTAAGTAAGTAAGTAAGTAAGTAAGTAAGTAAGTAAGTAAGTAAGTAAGTAAGTAAGTAAGTAAGTAAGTAAGTAAGTAAGTAAGTAAGTAAGTAAGTAAGTAAGTAAGTAAGTAAGTAAGTAAGTAAGTACGAAACCCCTCTGTTTATAATCATTATATGCTCACTAGTGACTGTCTCGAAGAGTTATTTCCTGGAGTTAAAGTGAGAAGCCGTGACCAGTTGTGTTCAACCGGGTCAGTTGTGAGAAAGTAACTTACTGAAGACAATGTTGGACAGTAGTTTAATTCCGCGGATTGATTGAAGTTAGAGATTAACATCACTGTTTGCCGGCTCAGTAGTCTAGATTTTAAGAGTTCGCACGGGAGACCGATAGTTTTGGATTCGAATCCGCGGGGCGAGATCTTGGATGCACACTGCTGAGGAGTCCCACGATAGGATGAAACGGTCGTTCAGTGGTTACAGGTTTTCTATGGTTATCTAGCTTTAACTGGCTCATGAATTCAAATATCTTATACTTTAAAGCATTACTTTATTCTTATGTATATATTGTGATTCATTTAAATGCACGTGGTTGTATAGCTGGTAATTAACAACTTAGAATAATATTATTCTTTCACATAACACTGCCTGAATGTAAGACATATAATTAAACTTCAAAAGCCTGCGAGTCGTCATTAGTAGTTCTTAGTTTTATCACCTAGATTTTACTTCACTTTTAACTGTAAATGAAAGTAATCAACAAAACATTTCATCATGGTACATATTATAGAGAATCAATCTACAAAACGAAGTTATTTAAATCAGGAATACATACTTTTTCTGAACGCTGTTTGTTAAAATGTTCTAGTTTCTCCTGTATTGAATCTAAATGTTTTTCATTTTCATCTAACATGATAAACCATGGATGATTCAACAAATGTGGTGTAATGATTCTTAATTTTGGATCTACCAATAAAAGACGTTTAACAACATCTTGAGCATCCAAACTAATTGATTTCCATGAAGGAGATTTAAACTCAATATCACAGTGAAGTATAGCACGGTATAAATCACTACCAGATTTAGATTTATAAGGATCATCTCCACATAACCTTTAAAAAAAAGCATACCAGAAACCGAAATTAAAGTTTTAAACTGCTCATAAGTAGTGAAAAAAAATCATCTAATTAACAAAACATTTCTAATGTTGGAACGTATTTAGTGACTACACGTTTAGGCATCAGTCAGTCAGCTACAACGTAGGACTAGGTACATATATGCATCGATCCAAGTTGCCATACCTCATTAGCACGGGTAAACCTAGAATTATACAGAATTTTCTGATCTATTCACTTTGAAAAATGCAAAATCATTCAAATGACTCATTCTAACTAGTTATAGTGGTATCTACAGCCACAGTAGATAAGGATGTTAAGAAGAGATCTTTAATTTTCTCATGATTATATGTATATATTACAGATGAGTATTGATTTAGGTAGATTAATTATGACTTTTCCGAATATTCTATAATATATATGGATCAATTAAATTATCCGAAATTGATAACATTAACCCAGATACATCCGATTGGTAAGTAGTGTGATCCCTGGATTCCACACTTGTCGAATAAATTTACTTTAGAAAGATAGGTAGGTGATGTCCCTATTATTTCTTTTGAACCCAAGAGCGGATGAATGTAGGAAGATTTCTTAACTAAAATGAGTGACCTAGAGAAGTCTGTAGTATTTTCCTATCGATAAGTATGAGTATTTATCAAAGTTCATACAGTCACTGGATTTATTCTTAGAATCAAACAATGTATATTTAAGAAACTACTTAACAATCGTTATATGTATTTAGTGAATAAGTATCCAAGTCCAAGGAAGATTTGTTTTCTTGTTGTAAAAGAAACTTAGGTACGAAATTGGGGGAATTTGAATGAATTGTGCATCGCACTCAGAAAGGATTTAAAAATGTAGAACATCGCTCAAAATGCATCCAATAGGTCAGATTGCTGTATTACGCCTAACGTCTCAAACCAATGATCATTGATTATTCTAGAATTGGATTTGTTCTTTTACCGATTTTTTCTCAAGAATCTAACAAACTGTATCATCAGTCCGACCACTCCCATATTTCTTTCAACTTAGTCTAAAATAGACCCCAAATATTTCATACCGCACAGTTCCATCACAGGTAACCACTGTTTTCAAGACACCTATAATTAATTAGTGAATATCGTTGTCATGGTTTACGTCTTCTTAACTATATCTTAAGACAGAAAAGAAGAACAGAATGAACTGGTACGTCATATGCTCATCAGGTTAAATAAACCCGAAAGTTTCAAACATTTTTGTATCCACAACTTGATTCCATTCAGACTACCTGAAGGGGGCTGGTGCAGCTTCAGAAATAACTCAACAATCAACACACTACAACAATTTATCTCCCGCTACTAAATCATGAAACAGTGAAAAGTAGACGTAAAATTCTATTTTACAGGTGGAGAGCTAGAAAAGCATTCCAAGAAGTATTGCTCTTTATTTCACTATTTGTCTGATTATCATGTCGTAAGTTAGTTTGATATTTTCTAAAAGTTATTAAAAATCTAGGCTCATAATTTCTTACCGGATAAGTTCGACCTCCTAACATCTACTCACTATTCGATATTGAATGTCTGAGCGTCTCCAAGACGTTGTTGTGTCTGTGTAGATTTACTCTTATAGTTCATACCAAATGTTTTGAACTGTTAGACAGGTATCATGGCCTGATTGATACATTTTTCGGTCTTTACTCAATTAAACTAACAGATAATTTTCTAAATTGTCCCATAATTCTTTTGTTCCATAAATCTATATTTTTTTCTTGAATTGTAACTTTTATACCAAGCTTTTCCTACTATCACAAATATTGATACTACCTTAACTGCTCCGGCATCTCTCTGTGCTGATATGATGTGGCAACTTCAATCAATGCATAAGTGTGCTAGCTTCTACGTTACATATGACTAATTGATTGGTTGAAATGAACAGATTCATAACAGTAGTGTTTCGTCCTCCTACTTAAAACCTCAGATGAAACATTCGATTGTCCTGTGGAATAGACACTAGCAAGGAATCTAGTGTAGATATTCGTCTAAGGTAAATTAACGTCCCATACGTATAAATGTGAAAACCCAACCGTTATAACATTAAACGAAGTAAAACCGAGAGTAATAACAGTAACCCATAGGAGAATGTTACTCATTTAAAATATTTATGTACAGAAAGTATAATGTAAATTAGCTAAGTGAATTTCTTCTAATTTATGAAATACATACACTTTGAGAACTACTGATCTTGACTGTTATTGATTTTCACCAAATTTCATAAGAATAATAGTTAGTGAAACGAAAATTCCGATAGGGATAATTATCATTGAATCTAAATGTAAAGCTGTAAAAACTGATTAATAAAGTTGAACAATAGTTCATATCATATATAAACTTGAAAGAACTGCCTACGAGTTAAATAATGTGGTTTTGTACCAGAAAGATTCGATGTAGGCAGTTGGTTGAGGTTAGACATTAATACCGTTGGATGCCGGCTCAGTGGTCTAGAGGTTAAGCGTTCGGGTGAGACCAAAGGCCCTGGGTCCGAATCCCGCGAGCGGGATCATTGATGTGCACTGCTGAGAAGTACCACGATAGGACGAAACGGCCTTCTAGTGCTTTTAGGTTTTCAGTGGTGGTCTAACACCAATCGGTTCGTTATCTAAATTAATAGGGAGTAAATTTAGCATCTAAGCTTACATTTGCTAGTTGTGCCTCTTTTCAATTACTGACAGCATGATCCCCATTGTTACAACTACTTACAATTAATTCAGAAGTAATCCACTTGATTCTAGTCAGAATAAGGGATTTTTTTCTGACTTCATCAACTGAAGGGGATATATGCACCTGGTAATCCAATATCATCTTGACTGTGTAATTAATATTAAACAATTGTACATAGAATTTATTTATAAACATTACTCACATTATATACAATAGTATACCTAGTGCCCATAGATCAATAGCTTTATCATAACATCTACTTAATAATAATTCAGGTGCACAAAATGTTGTCGTCAAGCATACCATTTCTAAATCTAAATCTGAAGTTGTAAATAATTGAGGAGAGTAATCAGCTAAAAGGAGAAAAACAGAAACAAATAGATTGATCAAAATAAGGGGATGAAAATGCATTGGACAATGAACAATCTAATTCTTATGAACAGTTATTTTACTTAAAAAGCATTTGTTATAAATACATTTGTTACTTTTGTTGTGATCATTAGCTAAGCTCTTAAATAATTCTGACTCTATGCATAAAAGTGAACTAATTAGCCTCAGCAACTATATGATATGATTGAACGGATAACCTAATAGTGCTGAAATTGACAAATGAACTATGTTTTCTAAAAGCGATCAGTAATGGAAAATGAAAAGTATGTCTATTTTGTTATTGAATAAATCTATAAATATTAGGTATTCGAAGGTAACTCTGGCTGACCGACTAAATTTTTTATCAAAGGTGATGATTTAAAACCTACGTTGAAGCGCGAATAATATTACTTTGTTGAGTCAAATTACCTGACATGAATGAGTAAACTAAAATAATCAACTTCTTGATTTCTATTCAGTGGGGTTCTATGTTGATTACCTAGATGCCGAATATTTGAACTGTGCAACAATCATGGCTTCCGTTCAACTTCAAACATCGTCTCTCTATATAAAGTCTAGATATTTCAATTAGTTTACTACTAGAAGTAATAAATCTTACTCTTTTCGTTTATATGATTTCACTTGATGTGTCCGTTTGATTTCTCAAGAAACATTAGTAAATATTACAACCGTATTTTTGATCTACTGTTGTATGTTGTGAAAAACTGATTAATTGAGATGCGTTTGTTATTGAAATCAATGAAAAATCAAGTGGCGAATCATGAAGCACTAGTCATCTGACGTCAGTCTGTAAATAAGTATGCCAGAATTAAGTGCTTACTCACAAACCACCTTGGTGAACATATTCCTAATGTTGAATGATGTCTAGATGGAACTCCTGGAGTTCTGATGTTAATATGTGACTTTCGGAGTAAACCGGGTTGTTAGTGAAGTCAGACGTCAATAGATTGCATTTGATGGTGTAATCATTGTACTGTGAATTGATTGAAACTGGACAATTCGAACCATTGAGGTTTGATCAAGTGGCTGAATAGTTCAATGATAAGGTGTTCGTACTTCTCAGATGTGGGAACTTGAAGTAAACGACCAACCACCGTTCTGTGCCTGCTAACACTCGTGTCCTCAATTCGAACAAATTCAAATTAGGCGATACACATATATGACGTCTGAATTTATTACTTTGTTATACACAAGCTGCTCTGAATCAGATTTTATTGTGTAAATAATTATGTTAGTCATTACACATGGCTTGAAGTCGCTAGATTTACATGAATTTTTCAGTACATCTCGGTATCATGTGAGTGATTACTGCGAAAATGAAACTAAACTCAATTCCCATAAATCTAGTCAGGAGCCTTAGGAATGTTTGCTGTGAACATGGAACTTTTAAATATATCTCAATGAGTTATCAATTCTAAAAGTTTGAAATAAGAAATCATTACTTTTGGCTGTAATATAAACATCTGGACGAGTCATTCACTTTTATTTAAATAGACACGACAAGATGAAACTATTCCAGTACGATATCTCTAAACTGATTTTAGAAAAGGGTGTGAAACACGGATGATATCCATAGAACTTGCTTCAATCGAAATAGCTGCACACGGTGAGTGGAAATACTAGAACATCGACTGAATGCCACTTCGCAGTCTACAGTAAAATGTGTGTAACTTCAAACTAACTAACTATTTGTCCGCATTCATGTTAGTGCTTATTCCTCGATAAACGGACGCACATCTGGGCCTGGACTGCGTGCCTACACTATTAAGTTAAGTAAACAACGTTTTTACTAGAAAGAGTTTCGACGTCTTGTTAAGACTTTCCAAAATTTATCAAGTCAAACAAACTTGCCGATTGGATTTGGAAAATAGCATGCACTGGTGATTGCAGAGAGAATGACCGAAATATTAATGTCAATTTCTACATATATTCCATACTTACTGATTTTTACAATCGCATCACTGTCTCTGGTGTTGAGCAGTATGTTTTCAGGCTAAAATAATTGGAAAAATAAACAGTCTCGTTTGAGGACTAAATATTTCTTGCACAAACAATACAATATCACAACTCTTACGTTAATTAGACACAAGATTCCTTAGGCTATCAAATCCAAAGCTCTAGACCCGATAGTGATTATCTCCAGTAGTAATTCCGATTTGGTTAGTTTAAATATCATGATTGGCGTTTGATTGCATATTATACATTCCCATCATTTGTAGAATTTTGAAGTGCAAACAAACAGCTACAAGATACTATTTTAGTTTAACACATAGTCACAGTATATTTATCTATGCTGTATTAAAGGTTCTTTAAACCTAAGAATTTATGTGAATTATTTAATGTGTTGAGCTTCTGTGTGAAATCAGATATGAATGCTCGCTAGCGTAATAACTTTGACATTAAACAAAACCGTTCCGAATATTGAATCAGACAAAACAAGTTATGCAAGTGACTGATACTACATAGTTTACGAATATTTTCTCGAAGTATCCTCTATGACACTTTCTTGTGGTCAGAAAGGGTTTTGTGGAGATTTTAGTAATTTCAATAGTTTAAACCATGAGTCAATTGAAGCTCGACTTTCTTATAGATTAATTTAGTCGACATATTCGTAGGTGAATCAGTGAAAATTCTCAATAAACTCGGAAATTGTTTGAAAGTTTGATTACAAAGATACTCGTTGGCTAATTCAGTCAGTAACAACGTTGAACTTCGTACGTACGTACATCATTTCGAGTTTCCATACCACATTAGCATAGAGATGCAATTGTCCATTCAAATTTCCTACTGGTAGAGGTAGTAAAAGTCTAAACAGTAATCGGAAACATTAGGGTTTGAAGATGTTATTCAAGATGTATAATCCGGCGAAATAAATTTAGAAAGAGAAAAAAGAAAGGTACATGAAGAATTCAGAAGATTAGAATTTGGAAGAACACAAAGAGCGGATGCACTTCCTTACACCATTGCAAACGATTTTGAGCCATGTCGTTCAAGGTCTCTAACCGTCGGTTACTATCGTCTTGAGGATCCTAACCAGGTAGTCAACACCTACCGACATGGCTCAGTCCACTTGTCAGTGACTTCATGGATTTGTGCTATGTTTTGGCCTGGCTGCCCCTAGCTTACTTCCATCCTACTCCGACACCATAGAACATGGCTCGTTGGGGCAGTCGGTAGTTGGGCATACGTAACACGTAACATGCATCCCAATGTCACTTTAAGAGCATATCAAGTCGACACGTGAATATTTGTAAATTCATAGAATATTTTATGAAATATTCGTATAATTCATACATCTAGAATTTTCAATAGCTTTGGCAATTCTTACCAGTGAAATTCGGAGATGGTACCAGTTATCGGTTAGTTTGATTTGAAAATATTTAGCGAAAGTCGATTGTTTTTTCGATGTTGGATATCGACATTTAAAACTGTTTACCAAAAAGGCAGTGGTTTAATAAACATCTTTATCTGTTTTCCCAACAATTTTATCTTGTGAGACCAATCGGCAGTAATTACTCAACCATTTATCCAATGTAAGTTAAACTAGCTACAAATTTACACAGAGTTGTATGTCAGATAAATAATAATTTGTCGTAGCTAAATGTAAGGCGTTAACTTTTATTTTTAGGGCTACTAATTGATACCCGAAATACTGTGGAAGAAAACCAACTTATCTTTCGATCTGAAAGTTATCAATTCAACCTGTTCTTATTATAAAACCAACCCACTTGGAACTATCTACTGGAGATGGTAGGAATGTTGTCCTACAGCATCAGTCGCCGCGAATGGTCTTTAACCTGTTTTGTAACTTCAGCAGACCTCAACAAGCAACTGGACTGAAGTTTAAGAGACCTTGAGATAGATGTTGTCTATTTACTCCATACTAGCATCTCAATCAGATCAATTCAAAAATAATGCACATCCTATCGTTAAATGAAGCAATAATCGGTATTCAATCATATATTTGATTCATAGTCTAACAGAGGTGAAGAAACTTCTTGTGTCAGATCTCCAAGTAATGATAACACAGTTAAAGTTTGACTAGTACGAACATGTTTAGCATATATGAAATTGAAAAATACCTCGATTTCGTTCACTCAATGAATTTTCGTGGTTTCACACTTAATGACAGTAAATATTTTGTCTTCAGTTTCAAGTTAAAAATAATCCCGATTAAGATGAGTTATAAGTGCTCTTATTCGTTAAAATCCCCGCTTGATGAATTTACAAAATATGCTAGTATGGTCGATTGGAGTATGAAACATTGATGCTAATTTCAACGATAGGTGACCAGTCTAAATGTCTGTAATATAGAAACAGTTCAAGGGATTTATCGTACTCATTATCTACTTGCATTGGCTATTTCCACCCATTTACTATAACACGAACTCGTCTGGTCAAATCGTGCACAAATCAAATCTAGTACTTTCAAATCTTCCGTTGATCATCAATTCATTTTGTGTCGCTCTGAATGTATGGCGGCAAAACTCTAAGTAGCCTAGAAAACAATCATACATACTTTTACATTTTTGTGAATAATTCCATATTCATGTAAGTATCTGATACCATCAACCACTTGTCTGAAATAATAACCAACCGTTTTTTCGTTGTACACAGGCATTTTAGTTAGTCTAAATAGAAGGAATAAGAAGAGAGTTGACAATTGGTTAAAATCAACCAAGATTCCCAAGCGTGAAATAACATGAGTTTGAATACTAAAGTTTTTGAGTGAACAAGATCCGTTATAAACATTGATGAGATTTTAATCTCTTCAATATTAATAGAGTTGACCCCCAATTTATTCTATTCGGGACTAGTCAGTCACGTGTAACTATATCTACGTGTTATTATTCGCATTGGGATTCAAACGCATTACCTACTACCTGAATAGTCAATGCGGCATACACAAACATATTGAGTCCAGGCAGCCACTTGTTTAGCAGACATGGAGTTACTTACAAGATTTTGCGTTTTGTTGATGTTGATAATGAGGACTGTAATTGACCAACCTTCGTTGGTCTACACGCATCCTGAGTGAATAGCGAATCTGGTTGTTGACTGATTCACTAGGATACAAGTAAAATCGAATGATAAATCTCAAGTAGGATCGAATGTACGTCCTTACTTACACTCCTGACCATGGTCCAAACATACTAAATACTTATAATCGAGAGATATTCTCAAGACGATCCATCCAGAATGCACATATGCTAATAGAGACAGGTCAGATGTAGTTCCTAATACAGACAATGAAAAAATACAAACCCGTATGTAGAGTTCGTAACTGCTTTTATTAGGCTTGGTCGAAAATGAGCTGTTTTCGACAGTAGTGACAAACTATTCTGAAAATTTTGGGTTGTTAATTATTTTACGTCTTTCATATCATACACATTGCTGCCTATATTTAATAAACTTACTGGTATACTATTTATTTTGAGTTTGCCATAGATTTACTCTTTCACTATCATCCACCTACTTTTTTCGCAGTCGTTCTTAGTTTTAAGCTGTCTTCAGCCGATG